CACCAAACGGATCTCCGACAACACCAAACGGATCTCAAAAAGGATGTGGGAAGAGAGGGAGGCGGATGTGGGAAGAGAGTGAGAGACGGATGTGGGGGAGAAAGTGAGACTGAGTGGGGGGGGGGGGGTTGCGGATGATTTAGGGTTTTAAAGTTAAAGTAAAAAGTTAAAATTTTAAAGGTGATTTTGTCATTACAAATTTTTTGGAGAGGTGCAGGGAGTATAGGTGGTGGTGGAGGGAGCAACCCTCTTATAATTTTATATAGTTCATGCCGAGAAAGAAAATACAACATTGTATTAACAGACACAAACACAACAAATTAAAGTAATCACATATTGCCCCAAGGGTAACCACTCAAATCTAGTATAGGAATTTGTATGGAATAAAGTATGAGTCCAAATAAATCATTATTATGGGTAACAACTTATACTTAATATCACAATTTATTTACAACAAGAAAAATATACACCCAATTCTTTTTACTTATGTGAAAACGGAGAAAACACAAGAGGAAATTATTGAATTGTATTCCTAAAACTTTTTTAAACTTTCAGCAAATATCATCTCATAGGAAATATTCACACAATAGTTTTATATATTTAGTTTTGTTTGATAAGGTGTAACAGACAAAAAGTTAACCTTTGATTGATTTATTTTGTTTTGTAGAAAAAACTTGTTAAGCTTGTCTTCAAATTTCTCCACTTCTTTGTTACTGTGGATAATAACATGCAAAGTAAAAGATAGAGAAGAAATTTATACACAACTTTTTATGTTGGTTTGTCCGACCATGTACACTACGTTAAATTCTCAATTAACCAATTGAGTTTCACTAAGTAGGTTAATGTTATGAGGTATAAAACGAGTATTGTTTGGGCTCATAGCCATTATTGGTTACTCCTTGAGTATTGTTTGGATTTATAGTCACACTTGACTAATCCTTTAAGTATTTTTTCTATAAATCACTCATGTCTTGATCAAGTATTCTTTTCCACGCTACTCTTGGCTGAATCAAGTATTATTTTCCTAACCACTCTTGATTCAACTAAGTGTCCTTTCTCAAGTCACTCCTGACTCAATATAATATTACTTCGGCTCCTAACTACTCTTAGTTGACCTTGCTCAAGTATTCTTTCTACAATTCATTTTTGTGTTAAACAAGTATTCTTTCACAAGCAACTTTTTAGTTGAACAAGTATTCTATCATAAGCTACTTCTAGCTTAAATAAGTATTTTTTTTTATCGAACAACCTCTTGAAAAATATGTAGACGTTGAAATATTTGTGACCATTGATCACACTTTTTCTTGTTAGAGAACATAATTGTCTATTGACATATGAGAGACTAAAGTACTCTTCCTTCTAGCTTGCTGAGTCGAACATTAGTAATGTCATTTTTTGAAGTTTTTTTTTGGCCTATAAAGTTTTGGTGGCACTTTTGCACTATAGACATGGTCTCTCTATTTTTTTCTTGTTCTTGAAAAGATTTATATAAACTATAAAAGAAAGTATTTTTTTTTGGAGTAATTTATGGTTGTGAGCAACTTTAGCTTTTTTTTAAAGCCTTTCTTCAATTGTGGAGCTTGATAATTATGGATACATTTAATGCATTCCATATAGCAAATAATTTTCTTTCTTCATTTTCTTAACATCCTAAAAGTTGGATATGTCTTTCTTGGGCATTGTGCATTTCCTTGATTCATCTTAAAATATAGTGTTGTACAATGTTTACAATTTTATCAAGGTTAAAAATATGCTTTTTTTCATGGATTTGGTGAAGAAAATTAGCTTCAGGTCTTCACTCGAGAGATCTTTTGATTTGTTTGGTCCTTTGGCCAATGTACCTCTTTGACAGATGGAAGGGATAAACATTCTCTACAAGATAGAATAGACATTTATATATTTTTCGTGTGATATGAGGTTAACTTACTTCTATGTATTTTATCATATGAGATCATTTGTGCTTTATCATACATAAACTCAAACTACATAGTGTTGTATTGCATATCAAACAAATCACTTGCATCTTTATTGATTTGTTATTCGTCTAACTTTTTCTCTAACAACCTCATTATTAAATTATAAGAGAGAAACAATTATATCAAAACTAGATCTTCATTCAAGAATGAATTTGCCATGACTTTGGTGTCTCAAATTGAGGCAAAAAAACATAGAGGAAGCTCTTGGATTTTAGCCATGGAGGGAGAATTGAGCTAGTTTACTAGAAAAGTGTTTGTACAAATTTTTGAAGATAGTTGAATCTAGTTATTCTAAGGTTGAATCTATATGATCATTTGTGATCTAAACTTGCATAAACTTGTGTAATCTTAATTTCCATTGCTTTCAATTTTGTAAATTGGATAGTTTTAAAAGAACTTGAAGAAAAGAAAAATCTTTTGAAAAAGTATTAAAAATAATTCATCCCCTCTTCTTTTAGCAAAATCATAAATTCTTTTATAACAATTATCATAGCCAGGTTTTAAAAGTTAATCAAAATAAAGATTTTGATATTTCAATGTGGCTTGAAAAATTCAAATGTTTCCAAATGTGCTATTATTAATAAACATTCACTTTTCCATGCAAAAAATTATCATTGTTGACAAACTATAATGCAAATACCTTTAGAATATAATGATAGGATAATTTGGGATATTGTCAGACCTTTAGTTCCTATACAAGTAATTAACAATAAGAAAAAGGAAAATGACTTTTCTCATTGGACAAAAACAAGGAAAGAACAATAAGTTGTCAAGGCAAGAAACATCATAGCTTTTGCACTCACCTTGGAAATGTTTTATAGGATCTCTATGAAAAATTGTGAACAAAATGTGATAAGTCTGAGGTTATTCATGAAGGAACAATGTTAAGACAAAATCATTTATAAGACTTATATCTCTAAATGATCTCATGTTTTGAAGTTTAATCAAATAACATTAAACAACATAAATATGAAAATTTCATAACTAGAAGAATAGGAAGAAACATAAAAATTAGGCTCAAAATCCCCAAATCATCTAGCAACGTCAAGAAACGCAAAAATAACTAAGTCAAAACATTCAGATAGAACATTAAACGACTCACAAGTCAAAGTGTCTAAGAGAGTTGTGTCAAACGTGTAAGCTACAGTACCAAATGGTATTCGGTTGAACTCTCGAAAAGTGAATATATGTCTTTGGCAAAAACCTTTAAAAGCCTCAAACAAAAATCCAAAAACATGAAGAAAACGAAACCTGCTAAACGTTCTTGCTCTAAAAAGACAATATTTCAAAAGACGTTTGCAACAGACTAGATGGTACCATGAGTTAAACTCTTTACGTTGTCAAGTAATGAAGTTTTTATTCAACGTTTGGTATCTTAGAGAAAGCTTAATTGATAAACGTTACTTCAACGGTGGAAAATGTAAACACTACTTTGTTATTCTGAATAAGCATTAAATATCATTAAATGTTGACCGTTCAAAAACAACAAAAGTGATAAAATATAAGACACTATTCAACCCCACCCCCTCCTAATTTGATTCAAGAATATGAAATATTCACAATGATGTAAGATAAAAGCATTTGTGATATGCAAAAAAGATTCACATACATTGTTAACCATGTCATGGATTTAGGTATGAAATTTGATACTAAAGAATTGAATATAAAAATCTTGCAAAGTTTGAATAAGTCCTAAAATCTTAAGGTTATTAGCATATATGAATCTAGAAATCTTACAACCATGCACATGATAGTCTTGCTTGGGAAGCTGAGAGAGCATAAACTTGGGTTATGAAGACTCAAGGAAGAAGAAGAAAAAGAATGGAAAAAAAAAGGAAGAGAAACATAACCTTAAAAGCTTAATCAAGAAAGAAATATACAATTCAAATAATGAGAATCAGGGTTTGTTGGTAAACAAGTTCTTAAAGTTCTTGAGAAACAAAAATGTAAACAAGAATCAGTAGCTAAACAGGATGAACAAGAAAAATGGTTAGCCTTTTGTTCCTATATGTTATGAATGTAGTAAATCAGGTTCTACAAAACCTAAATGTCCTTTTATTAGAGACTAACCCTATTGATAACAGAAAAAGTAAGAAAGGTTTTAAGAATAAGAAAGCATGCATTACTTGGGAGGACAATGCATCTTCCTTAAGTTCATCCAGGGAGAGTGGAAAGAAGAAGCAAATTTATGTTTACTTGTTGGCCAACTTTCCGAAACAAGAAGTGTAAGTGGCTCAATTTTTTTGAACATGTAAATAATGCTCAACTTCTTTATGCATTCAATGAAATGCATGAAAAAACAAAAACACTCTTCTTTTTAACAATAGAATGAAGGGAGAAAATAGGTGGTTAGAGAATAAGGTTAAACAAAATGAAAAGAGAAAAACACAAACCTTAAAACTAATTTGGAAGGTTTTGAAATGATTTATAACTTTTCTTGTGACTGTGAGTCATGAATTTGGAAAAACATTTAGAAGGAAAAATAAAATTTCTTCAATGTGAAGTTGCAAGATTAAATATTGGAAAATATAACCTAAATGTCATCCTAGATTCTACCGATAAATGAATGATAAAAAAGGTGTTGGGTTTGTTGCATCCAAAGAAACAAAAGTTAAAAATTTCAAAAAGCTATCATACACCTCACAAGTAACCTGTTGCTTCTATTGTATGACAAGAGGACATACAGTAAATAAATAGTTTTTAAGCAAAGTTGGTGTCTAAGGGAAGCTATGCATGGATTCTCAAAAGCAAGAGGTATGCCATTAACTCTAGAGTATCCAAATTTGTGTTGGGACCTAGTTTGGACATTTTGTTGCAGGGGTGGAGCAAAAGAATGTAAAAATATCAAGAATGTTCCTGCATAATATCCGAGTGAACATGATATTGTTTGATTAATATATTTCTTAGTTGTTCTTTGGTCTTTTCATATGTTAAATGTACTTTGCTTGTGTTAAAGAAATGAATACACAAATGATTACACTATTGTACGTTGTTTGAAAATGTCTACTAATCTGATAAACACAGTGACAGTTAATCTACAAGGAAATTTCCATATGATGGCATTCATAGAAAGGAAGGAAAGGAAAAAGAAATCTAAGAGCCAGGCACAAACTTGGTGGCATAGACCCAAGCATTGTTAGCCACAGGGTTGTCAAGGTGATCCAAAAGGTTCTCAAGTGGTCCTTTCCCAGTGACAATGGCTTGCACAAAGAATCCAAACATGGAGAACATGGCCAACCTTCCATTCTTGATCTCCTTAACCTTGAGCTCAGCAAAAGTGACAGGGTCATCAGCAAGGCCAAGAGGGTCAAAGTATTGGCCACCAGGGTAGAGATCATTGCCCTCTCCCACACCAGGAAGACCATTGATGCGAAATCCTTCAACAAGACCCATAAGCACAACTTGGAACCCTAGCACGGCCAAGATGCTTTGTGCATGCACAAGGTTAGGGTTCCCCAGATAGTCTAGGCCACCTTCTGAGAATATTTGAGCTCCTGCTTTGAACCAAACTGGCTCCTTGAAGTCCACTTTCAGCCACTTCTCAAGCACTTCTGGGGTGATGCATCCTAGTGCTCCAAGCATAGCCCAACGCCCATGGATCACCTTGTTTCATATAACAATTTCAGTATGTCTCAACATGGCATGCCTTTAATCATTTCTTCAGGAAACAAAAGGGTTCAATCCAAAAGTAAGAAACTCTTTGACACTGGGAAAACATTCATTTGACATTGATGATAGTAAATAGTCATATAAAAAAAGTGAACTTTTATATTTGTAAATAAAAAGAAAAGGGTGGTGAAGAATAGTGTAAAATGAGTGTAAAAATTTGTTGTGTGTAAAAGTATTGAATCCAATCCAAAATTTGGGAATGCTGTAGTTTTCTCAATTCTGGTTTGGTTCCTGTACTATTAGACCATGTTTGGTTTCAAATCTTGGATGTGATTTTTTCACATTTCGGATGTGAGTTTAAGAAGCTAACAGTTACAGTTTTCACATCTGCAATGTAATTTCTTACTTCTCAACAGATTACCAAACATGCTATTTTTGAATCTTGTGTTCTCCTTTGTTAAAGAATTAGTCTTGCTGTGTGATCAAAAACAAAATATGTGTATGAGGATAGGGTCTAAAAAGATTATAGGGACTGGAAAACCAAACTTCTGAAACACAGGACCAAGACCAAAATAAAAACTTGTAAAAAGACTACAGGAAGTATAATACAAATGAATTTATATCTAAAGCAAATTAGAAAAGCCATTAAAGAAAGATGACTTTTATTGCAGAGAGCAATTTATGGTGTGGAGGGATACTAGAACTAGATGTTTATGAAGGAACATTACTGATATTGGTTCTTTGTTTAGATGAAAAACCAGTTAGAGCCAACAATGTTGTGTCAGGAAAAGCAAATATTTTTCATGTTAAAGAAACTTGATGAATGGTTTTGTTTGTGCTGACATGAAACCTTATGAAATTTGATCCTATATATGAAGAACTGAAATGTTTTCATAGCAGTGTAAGCAAAATGAGTGACCTCAAGAGCCCTGTTCTTGGCAAATGCTTCAGGATCAGCAGACAATCCAGCAGTGTCCCATCCATAGTCCCCTGGGAATTCTCCAGTCAAATAAGAGGGAGTCTGAGCCGAAAAGGGTCCCAAGTATTTCACTCTGTCTGGACCATACCACAATTCATTTCCCTGCTCACTCATCAACACAGATAACACTACATATGAGCCAAAACCAGTAAGAAAACATATGAAAAGGTCCTCCTTTTCTTCTAACAACTATGCTAGAAGGTCATAGTTTCATACCAGAATATCTAAACAAATATAAAAAATATAACTTGTTAAGAAAATTCTTCTAAACTGTAAATAGTATACTGTTGACTGACACGGTGATAGCTATTGAAGTTACATCTAGATAAATTAACAAATCTAACATTACAACTTGGTAATGAACTCTTAGTAAAAAAACATCTACAACATATATATATATATATATATATATATATATGTGTGTGTGTGTGTGTGTGTTTTGGAAAGTACCATGATGTATTTCCCAGGTCCCATGGAGACAACATCTCTAAGAGGGTTGGCATTGGTTGCCCTACTTTGGCCAAGGAAAGGTGTTGGTTTAAGGACAGTGCCAGTGCTTGCAGAGGCTGCTGCCATTAATGTTGCTGCCATGGCTTCCAAGTACTTTTTTTCAGCTGAAAGTTGAAACCTTTAACTTGCTTAAATAGAAGAAGACTGGGAGAATGGTTCAAGAGAAGATGGTAGAAACTAGGAAGAGGATGTGTGCATGAAGCATTGTGTGTAGGGAAAGAAAATCTGAGGGACATGAGTGGTTAGGAAGACAACAATGTCATCGCATGTTTGTGGTGGGGACTGTGTTGTTTGGAGCAACCAATGAGAAAGCTTCGAAAGATTTGTAGAATCTCCAACTCATCCTTCTATCCACATTTTATCTTTTGCTTAATAATATTGAAAAAAAGACTTGTCTTATTTCTGCCTGAATATTTGGAAAATGTATTTTCTTTATTAATATGTTAGAGATATGCTGTCGAGAATATTCAAATCTTCCGTCGCTTTCTTCACGTCTTTAAAATTTTCATTTTATTTTCTCTCTGCAGTTTTCTCCGCTTCCATTTAAATTTTAAATCCCGTTTTTCACCTTTCAAGAACAGATTCAACGTTATGAAAGAGAAAAAGTTCTAAATAAGTTTTAATCGATAATAATTAAATTTGGAGTGAGTGTTTTATTTTTATGCATCTCTAAATTCTTTCTCTATTATGTGAGGAGTTGGCAACTTTATTTGTTTTCTTGAAGGTAAATTGTTCTATCGAATAGTCCATCTTTTTTATTTGGGTTTTTATTTGTTTGATAAATTTTTTCACATTCCTAGAATTTTGGTATAATTTCTATCTTGAGTAATCATTATTGCAAATCGGTCATATAGATTCATATTATACTCTTATTGCGTATATCGACATGAAATCAGTATACCATCTGAGTTATATTAACTTAAACAAGAGTTAATATTATTTGATTATGATTAGACAGAACAAATTATTTCATACGATTATCTCTTTCGATGCTGATTGATTCTATTTTTAAGAATGTTTGGTTGTGCTATTAATGAAGTAGATTTTATCATAATTGATTACTTTTTTAGTTGGCTGAAAATGTTTTTCACTTGAATAGTTAATCTATTAAGACAATTAAAACTTAACTGATTATCTTTTACAAATAAATTTTAAATGTTTGAACTAATAATCATGTAACTGAAGCAATAATAAATTACATTTTCTTCAATATGTGTTTTCATAAATAATGATTGATTATTTCTTAAGATAATTGATTAAATTATATATTGTATATGTCTAAATTTTCATTAATCATGACAATATAGAATATGTTCCTAATCGAATATATGTATCTCTATAAATTGATATGTATCTAGTCCATACCTATTTGATCATAATGAGATTGAATGTCATTTCATTTAAGAGAAGATTGTATCGGAAGAAAAAAGTAAAACTAAGTTTGTTAACTCAAATTATTAGTTAGTAAATATTTTCACCAAATATTGATGAATATGAATAATTTATTATATTTATAACAAGTTTGATATATAAAATTTATATACATCAACACGAAGAAGAGTGTTGGATATATTGTGTTTTATTAATTAAGAAAATATAGTCTATATATTAATTATATTATTTTTATATATTCATTTATATTTGGACTTTAGCTCATATTTTCGTTATTATAAATACATTACTTTAGGCTTATTTTCTTAATAAGAAAGATTAATCTTATACATATTTTATTATATTGAATAATTAGAATAAAGAAGATTCAAATCAATATGAAAAAATATCTTGTAATCTCAATATCCCTAGTGTTATCTTCTTGTTTATTTGATTGTGAGAAAACATACCCTTTCATCAAGTGTTAGAAGAAAGATTTTCAAAAAAATCTAATAATAAACCAAAAGTTTTAAAAAGAATCGATTCATAGATTAGTGCCATATTTTGTTTGGAGAGTTTTCCCCCAAGAAATAGGAATGTAGTACACATGAAACAACAATATCTCCAAAATTGCCATTGAAATCAAAGAATAGATTTTGTCATACATACACCTAATCTTGGTTAGAAAGGAAACCCTCAAACGTTACTATTTACCATGAGATGTACAACAGTAATTTTATAAGAAAGAGTAAGGAAAAATTGACCAACACCAGAAAACAATGCTACTATGTACTCATGGCTATTCCTTTCTGTACACTAACTTACTTGAGATATATGAATCCCATCAGGGTATTTGAATGTATCAGCTGCACCAAATTTGCGGCGTTCTTCGCAATCTTCTTCTAGTACTTCATCAGTGCTATCATCTTCTTCCCGGTCAACGGAAGGTGAGGAGGGATCATACATACTTTTAGAACGGCACAATTGGGTGGCAAGCATGCTAACTTGACCATGGTGTGATATCTCAACAACGACTGTGTCATCATCTTTTGGGAGGGGTTGTTTCCATGGCTCTCCGTCAATTCTCATGAATGTGCAGTCAGCTGCACCCTTGTGAAACTCAAATCGGATTCTGCTTGTCTGTGTGGTGAGAGCAGCATACAAACATAAGTTTGACCAAACAAAGGAAGGGGTAGAAAGGATAACTTAAATCGCTTGTTCTGTTGTATAAATCACTGTTTGCTCAACAGAAATAATTAACTTTTGTTTAAATTAAATTGGAATTGTAAAAACAACTCTATTTGGAAGGGAAAAATATTTTCTATTTTTGTTTTTGTTTTCCATTACAAAGTATTTTTCACTTTATTTTCCATTACAAAAAAGAGAATTTGAGTTTGGATTTTCTACAGAGTTTTTTGTATGTCTTCAAAAGAAGATTAAAAGAACTTTTAATATATTAAGATCACTGTATTTTGAAAACATCAATAGAGAAATAGGACAAAAAATCCAAAAGAGTATTTGAACTCAAAAAATTAGATATGTTTGATTTAATAAAATGTTTTCAATTACTCACTTTAATTAATAAAAATGTCACATCATTTCTACTTTACCTTTTGTTTTCAAACAAGCTTTAAAAAAACGAAATAACGGGAGTCCAAAAGTTGTTTTCATTATTTCGCATACAAAATTTTGTAGGTAAATGAAATCATTTTATCAAATCAAGTAATATTTACTTTGTATATTTACTATTAATTACACAGGTGGTATTTTAGCAATTAATAGTGAGAATATCCATTTTAATATTTTATAATTAAAACATTAAATAAGTTAATAGACACATAACTTTGTTAACGTATTTTACTATTTTTATTAAAGTAATTTTTCTAAACATGAAACCAACAAGACCTAGTGAAATAAAAGTAACATCATATATATTATATATCAAGAAAAGAAAAAAAGTAATAACAGCTGGTATGATTATAAAACCAACGCGTCCTTACCTGTGCCAAACGAGTCCCGTGTCCATTTGGTGCAAGCAAAACAAGACCATGCCAAGCATCTCTAAAACCAACTACCTCAAATAGGCCATCATCCACATAGGGAAGAGTCAGGTCCCTCTGAGGCAAAATTATTTTATCAGAATCCTCAAATGTAATAAATATGTCCAAGTTCTTAACAAGTATGTAATAAATATTTGGCACCTGAGGAAAAGACATGATGAAATTTGGCACTTACATAAATTGATTTCTTCCTATTTGGTTTTCCCCAAGGATTGAGTCCACCAGAAAAGCTGGGCAAGTTCAGGCAAACAATTGACCGAATGCTGTATATGAAATTAAACGTTTGAATAAGTATGAAGATTCATAAAGTTATACCAAGGTTACAGGTCTTGTTCACTTTCTTCTTGAGCATTATTCTTACATCTTATGTTGTTGCTTTTTTCCAGACATGCCTTGAATAATAATATTTTTATTTTCTAGAAACAAAATGCTCAATATGTAAAAGAAATGAGTCTTCATAGAGCGTCACCTGCGAGGTATGTGGAGATCTTCCCAATGACCTTTTTTCATTATTTTGACCTTTGCCAGCTGACCTATATTCCTGTGTCAGAATTTAATAATTCTGAATTAGGCTCCCATAGTGAGATAAATTGTAAACTCAGCACCACATAATTCAGAAAACAAAAAGACAACGAAGATAAACTTGGTGCCTCTTTAGTAACTAACCGTGAAGATTGAAACCAAGAAGAAAAGAAGCATCCGTGTGAACAGCCAAGCTTCAGATAGGCACTCTGGTTAACAGAAGAAAGGCTAGATGAGAGGGCAAATTATTGACAATAGTACGAAGATTCACCCCTAACTTATGCCAAACATATCTGATAAAGCTTCAAAATCTATTATTGATTTGATTAAATGATAAGTAATACGTTTCTAAGACCTCCATAAATTTTTCAGTTACTTTATAATTGAAATTTCACTTGAATGAATATCCAGGACTTTCAAACTAGACTGCAGTTGAAGAGATTAATAGTTGAACATCTTAAGTAATTTCAGATGCATACTATTCGTCCTGTCTATCATATAAATGCTCGGCTAATTTGGAAAAAGCATGTCAAGCAAAAATCTATTAGATTTCGAGTTTATTCGCTGAAAATTTACTACCACCCTCTATACCTATTTTGTATTTATCAGAAAACCATATTGAGCTTGGATAACAATAAGATTCAAATATCTAGTATAACTATATGGATAATGAAATGGAAGCAAAAATGAAAAGTTGAAAACCATGTATCGCTCCAATATATATCATATGTTATATTGAGCAATTTGGTACCTGATTATATAACTGATTTTTAAACTTTTCTGGATGCAACTTCCTCTGTGAATGAAATGCATAAGATACTTGAGCATCCATTCCTACATTAGAACACATACACAATTTTAGGGTTCACTTTCTAGCTGCACTGATACAAAAGCTTTAAAACTCAATTTATTTTGCCCCAGAAGCAATGCTGTGGTAACGCAACTTCTGCCCTTCCGCAGCTCAAAATCTTTTCCCAATGTACACAGAAAGGTACTTGCCACACCCACCCAAACAGTTTAAAGACAAGTCTTCTTTTCTTACCCATGCTAAAGTAGTTCCAAAATCCCCCACGATAAGTGTGGTAACCGTCCTGTAAACATACAACAATTCACTGATAAGCATGTAAATGAAAATATAAAGGACTCGCAAAGAAGAAAAACTAAAGAAATAAAAGCTTAGCACTACAATTGCCTGATTCGATTTTGGATCACTTCTCTACTACTTTTATATTCATGTGATTACAAAAACAATCATTAAAGTCATAGGCCTGCCATTGTAAACTCTTCTAATGCATCTATAACATACATTTTATGCAGCGTCCAAATGAAGGATAACAATTTGATGTCATATTTGACTGAACGAACCAGAAATTGCCTAATCTTTTGATAAAAAGAAGAAACTAACTGAAATTAATAATAGTAAATATTAACTTATTTTTCATCAAATGATTAATAACTCTGTGGCTTCACAAGCATCTTTAATTTCATTCATGATCTCTTTGTTGGCATCTCCATGAGTACAGAATTATCGGCACAAATATGTACAGGCATCAACAATGAAAAGGAAAAAATACACATGACTCACCATGTTTAGCTTATCTGTTGAAGAGACACGCTGAAATGCATGCATAGCGTGAGGCAGCTCAAGGGGTGCAATAGGGTCACATGAACCTTCTTTTGGAGCCTTCATTCTCATTACAATATGCCAGCTGTACAAAATCAGCAGTAAGACATTATTCAGTTGCAAAATAACTAACAGAAGATGGTAAATATGTCACATGCTTCAAGCTCCTACATGGAAATGCTGGATGCAGAGGAAAACAGAGTAGCCAATATCCTAATTCCACATTAGCAACAAAGAGAAAACCACAGGTATATATTTGATCAGGCGGCGACAAGGTTAACGGATGTAAAATTAACATCGTTAAAATCTAAAGAAATCAACAATAAACCTAATACATGATATATTGTACCATAAAAAACATACCCCGACCGCACAACGTGCCTAATTTCGGTCTAGACCTCTGTTATTCTAAGAGAAATCAAGAATGCTACTGAAGGCAAAAAAAAACAAATCCTATGTTCATTACTTTTAAAGTACATCATATCTTGAAACCTTAGTGGTAATAAATAATACTATAGTAAAATAAGGGAGGACAAGGAAGGGAAATTTCTTTAACATAAGACAAAAAACGTACACTATACAAATGCAAAAATAGTATTTAATCAAAGCGTGCAACTTCTGAAGCCTATCATCAAAATACACAGTTGTCTGTCACAGGTCTCGGACGCAAGTCTTACAAATGTTCACGCAACTTCTGAAGCCAGAACATTTTAGACAACTGTGTTTCCAGCAAAGTTCCACTGAATGTTTTCAGCAACGATATATTGAATACAGCATACATTTATGCAAATGCACGTGAGAAGTTTCAATAAACTTGAAAATTCAAATAAAAGGAGTACATACCTGTCTATTTTCATTTCCTTTGCCGCTTTTACATTCATTAGGAATGACGTCACTGATTGAATATCCGTTGTTGGATTTTTCTTTCCCTGTAAATAATAAATTATGTTCAGCACCTGTACAACTCATGGACTCTTTAATGCAAAGAACAATATCGTGCAATTGACCCCGGTTGAAAAGGATGGTGCCCTTAATGTATTGAGTTATTAATTTTCTATCAAAAATCATTGAACACCCCACATGCAATAAATTGACAATTGATGTGTATTGCAAAATGTCCAAGAAAAGATATCCAGCAAACAACAAGACATAGCGTTGCAACTCACATCTCAAGAATTAGGGTTGCAATTCAAAATTGGAATTGCAATTTGACATATAAGATTCACACTAGAAAATGACCGTTAAAATGTAAACAAAAATTACTACTAATCTGTGATTATAACTAGTCAAAGAAATGTCAAACTCCATGAATTGAGATCGACATGCACATTATCAATAAGAACTTAAACAAAACGAAAACTGATTCAAGCAATCATGAAATTCAGAGTTCAGCAGACTAAATAGAAAGTTAAATAAAAATACCCATCCAAATGCAAAGGGAAGATTATTTCCCGTCCCCAATGGCATCGTTGCAATTGGTGGCGGATGAGGTAATTTAAGGTCAGATACAACTCCAAGAAGCCAGCTAGCAGTACCATCTCCACCTGCAACCTGATTTTCCAGAATACATTAGAAACATAGAGTAATCAAAGATCATCAGATAATTACACTATAACAACTTCAATCTTCCTCCTTGCTACAAGTACGTCAGAATTAGAGATCACAGCATGGCAATCATCTTACAATTATATTCAATCTATTCTGAATTTCAGCTGCAAAACCGTCCCCATTGTGCCTGAGCGTTTCCAAAGTAGCATAAAGCCTCTGCAGCACCTTATCCGGAGCATTTTTTCCCAAATCAAAAACCTGGTACATTAGTTAAATTAAATTGTCTTTCCATCAAACAGGTTGTCCCACCTTAAAAAAAACAACTCAGATACTTGCAAAAAAAAAGAAGACAAAATCAGGAAAAAAAACAGTTTACCTGGTTTTTGTTAAGAAGTGTACTATAGGAAACAAGAAGCTCCCCTCCAAGCTGGCCACCACTTTTGGAGTTTATGAAAACAATCACAGGACATGCAGGTACAGGCGAGACACTTTTTCCCTCAGATCCTGACACTAGTATGTAATCTGGAATACAGAAGTCTCTCAAAGTTCTATCATAACTACCGTCTCCCATATCTATTTCCCAGCTGCATATTGTATGACCAAAAGAAAAAAAATCACATTCAATATAAATGCAACAAAACTTTCATGTAATTCCTTCCGTGCTTTTAGGTTTACTGTCGTTCTTTGATAATTGAAATTTCACCCAATTTATGATGTTAATGCTAAACTTTTGCTCTTAGTTTACAATTTTGATTCGTAAACAATACCAAAATAAACTTATGAGCTGTATCAAAGTTCTTTCCATCCAAATTTTCAAGTGAATAAAAAAAAACTAGTGATAATAATTTAAAACTTTAAAAACTAAAAACAAAAATAACAGTAATGACGATCCACCAGTATGTAATTCAAAGTACTAAACTACCTCGACTTTCTACAGTAATTACCATCACCCATTGCCATTTCAAAAATGCGTATTTTGGTCACACAACAAAATATAAGTCAAACATAAATTCTAAAATATATAAATTGGAACAAAAACGAAATATTCTTCCATAAAAACTAGAGTTTGACTTAATTTTCCTTACGAATTAAGAAAGTGAAATTCTAATTCTAATTGAAAATTAATATCCAAAAACACAGCTGCATCAAAGTTTTTCGAGAAATTAAAAAATCAAAAGCAAGTAAGAAAATAAATAAATAAAACATCGAGCGTTGAAAATTAAAAAAATAAAATAAAATAAACAAAGCAAAAGGAACACGATAATGACGATCTACCACCACCACCTCCTAACGAGAAAACGAGAAACCGAACGCTTGCAATTTCTCACCACCATTTCCTCAAACGACTTACGCGTGTCGTTTGCTACGCGTTTTTTACTTCGGCGAACGCAGCAAAGCTAACCAAACGAAACACAAACAACAAAAGAGAAAGAACTTTTAACAAAACCAACTGTTTTCGAGTTGAATTTTTCACAGAACCGGATTCCGCAAAAGCGAAAACAAAAGCTAATTTATTCGGAGTTCCAAACAGAGCCCTGCGCCCGAAACAGGCATCACGTAACGTATGTGAGCAGTGTGCAGATATTTGAAAAGTAGAAAAAAAAAAAAAAGATACCTTACCGAAACGGCACCGTATAAACGTGACGAGTTGCTTTTGTAACGAGATTCTGAGAGCGTTCCGAAGAAACAGTGTTTGGTTTGTTTAGCTTACGAAGCAAGAGTAGATTCCTTCGAAAAAAATCCAAGGAATGCGCGTAGAGAATATATGTGAAGGTCGATTAATGGTGCGAACGATTGAAGTGGTTTTGAAACGAAACGTAGAAGGTTTATGTAGGAAAAGGTGAAGTTTGAATGTGACAGAGGATGATGAAGGCTTTCAAACAATGAAAAGTTACTGCCAGGTTTTGCCGCGTCACGCCACGGTTTCAGTGGCTTTTTCGATGGTTCAGTTCGTCGTTGAAAGTGGGGCCCACGCTCCAACGGAACTGCCTTACGTGGAAATTTCCCATTTTTCTTTACTTTTGTTTTCTTTCCATTTTATACAAAGTGGGGTAACTTGAGCGTGGTTTTAAAATTAGTAAATGGAGTTGATATTTAATTTATTTAAGGATAATACACAATTTTTTAAAATAATCTAAAATATATTTAATTTTAATTATAAAAGATTATAAATAATCTAAATAAGTTCTATAATTGATGAAGAAAACTAAGAAATATAGATTCGAACACAAATTGTAAATTAGCCTTCTTTTTATCGTGTAATAGGTATTCTTAGTGTTTATAGCACTTTTTCTACTCTAATGATAATAAAAGTCCTTCTATATGTATAGACATTTATTGTATTCCACAGCTACTTTCACAGTAGGAATTACATGTGAAGCCGAGAACTATGATATATATCAACAACCCACTTATCCTAAGTGAAAAGATATGTCTCCAAAAGCATAACTTTTTCAATTTTCTTCATTGTTCATAGTCTTACCTACCTCTCTCAATTAATAGTTTAATTTATTTTACTTATTTTGAAGTCATTGTTATCTTTATGGTTGAAACCACATTATGTACTTATTGATCTTCATAAGTAAATGTTACTTCTAAGAAAAATCAATATATATTAATATTATATTTTTTTTTAAAATCATAAATAAATAGTAATATAGAAATAATGTATAGTACATAAATATATACAAATTGTATCTTATAAATTAATTTTATAAAATTAATTAGATTTAATATTAATTTTTAATATATTAAGATACTTTAAAGGTAATTAAAAATAAATTAAATTGATTTTGTTGCATGTGTAACTCCTAATAATCTAAAATAGGATAGTTTTCTTATTGAGTTATGAGCATATGATTGACATTTTGAAAAGTAAATATATGTTTCAACCAACAATGTTGTTTTTACTATAAATTTGTCAGGTTGATATGAAAGTTTGTTGTCAACTTGTATTTGAGATTGTCGACTTGTATTTGAGTTTTTGTCAAAAAAAAAAGGGAGAAAGTTTAAAGGACTCTAACGCTTAAATTAATAAAAATTATTTGAATTAAATGAGTGTACTCCTTATGATCAAATATATTTATAAGCTTGTGAGCCTATTTGCATGTAGAGATTGTATGTAGAGAATAATTATAAATGAGGTTAATTTAAGATATAACAATATATTAAAATATATATATATATATATATATATATATATATATATAAGAATTGGATTCGATTTATTATAGCCTAAATTTTGTTTATATTATTATAAATATCATTTTTCCTTTATTTTAGGAGTGTTGATGTCTCGTTAACATCTCAAACTAGGATTTCATGCTAATTGGACCATTTTGCGCTTATAATAATATATTTTGGACTTGTTAATAATAATATGTTTTTGACCAACCAATTTGTAAGTTATCATTATAGAACTTCATCAAAGTTTTGTCTTCTTCAAAAGGCTTTTCCAGGTTTTATCATGTTCATGGCATAGGATGAGAACGACGTCTCTTTACTTGATGATTGAGGGAACCAATGACGAGTTTGTATTATTGTATTGTGACAAGTGAGAAACTTAGTATGAAACACAGTTATCAGTTATCTTTTGGTGCAGGGAATAGTTTTGATCAATCCAATTACTTTCAATTTGCGAGAATATTGTCTTCTTACTTTTATTGGTTTGGTTCAATCTAATTATGTGAAAGGAAATTTTCTTACATGTGTTCTCTTTGACCACTCTACAATGAAGGTAATCAAGTGTTTGTCATACACTTGCAACTTTGGAAGACCTTTCTCAAATTCGGATGGATTATACATAACTAAATACAAGAAAACCAAAGAAAGAGTAATGATAATACTAAGGTAATCTAGAACGAATTCTATTAAGATAGACTTGTCCTTCATTTGCCACAAATGTATAATATAAATCGATTACATAAAATGAGATTGTGGTCTATACTTGATCATTCTAGAATTCTTTTAATGAACAATCACATAATTATAATTAAAATATTAACACATTGTCATGTCATAAATTTGTCAAAAAATTTGAGCATTAACTACACGTGAATTAATATATATCCTTTCACTTAAGCAAAATTGAAATTGAATAACTTTTGTTGTGGACCTCATACTCATATGCACACATGATATCAATATCTGAGTATAGTGTCATTCAGGTCCAAAATAATGAATTCAAGTATGTAAATGACCGTTAAATTATTTTAAATTTAGGTGTAATAGCTCGTTTTGGCTTGATTGTATCTCCATCAAGATGTGATAAACTATATTTTTGAATTTCCATATCAATAAAAGTTTGGCGCATTGGATGGCATAACTTTCATATTGTGTTTGGGATTTATGTATGAATAGGAAAGAAGTGATGATTTTGTGTAAAGGGAGCATGTGGAATGTACATGCAGATGTTGTCAAAGCAAAAATATATTTTGATCTAAAATTATCAATACATTTTTTGTTTACACAAATTTTTTGAATAAAATGTTATATTATAGTAAAATATTAAAGATATAGAGTGTCAAAAGAACACTCTCTTCTAAGACATTGAAAGATTTAGATTATGAATTCTCATGACAGCACAAGTAAGATAAACTATTTTTACAGAAGGTGATAATAATGTAAAATATGGAGACAAGATAAAATTTTACTTGAACTTCATTATGGACATTAAATCTTCTTAAAAAAAGTTATCGAATTAACTCGAAATACATTAACTTAAGTATTTTCTTAAATCAAAATAATTATTTTATCAATTTTATTCTTTAAATGTTAATTTTTTAAATTAAATTGGTTTTTTCTTCGATTTAACGTTTTTGTCTAAAATGTAACTACTTTTTTATACTAAAATAATGATTTATAATAAAAGCTTTATTAAAACACAAAATGATTTAAATTTACTTTTATAATAATAATAATAATAATTTTATTACTTTTATTATTTTTAAATTTTCTGTGTTTTCACTAGGCTAAAATAATGTTTATACTGTACTAGATACGAATGGATAACAAGTGTTCGAAAACTCTTCCTTTCATATTAAAAATAGAAATACCAACATAATTGAAAGATTAAATTTGAGTTAGTTTTTCTTTTAGTTACTTTTCTAGCTGCTTGACTTTAAAAAACGATTTTTTTTTCCTTGTGGATGTTGATGTGGATAACTACACCTAGCCTAGCAATAACACACATAAGTAAAATAATGATATAGAAAAACATTTAAAAATATTTTTGACTAACATATTTTTCTTTTGTCCTTAAATTTTGGATCAAATTTTATGTTAATCTCAAAATTTAAAAAGAGAGATTTTTAGTCTCTCAAACATAAAACTGACATTTTTAATCACTTAAATTTAAATATAATTTTTCTATTCCTTCAATTTTAAAAGTACTCTTTTAAGTGTTTTTTTTAAGATTTAAAATACATTGAATTAAAAAAATCATATTCTACAAAACTAGCTTTAAAGTAAATACTATGCAAAATGACAAACACCACTATGATAGTTCAACAAAGAAAAAATTTCTTACAAAAAGTGTATATACATATATCTCTTCATCTCATATTCATGTATCACCATAAACACCTATTAATAAAAATTGGAGTATAAGAAAGGAAATAGTTTTCAAATAACTTATGATTGAAGGATGATAAATGTATGACTACTAAAATATTCATATTTGGTAAATAATAATAGTTCAGAAATATTATAAAATGTTTGTTTCAATTGCAAGATCGAGTGACTCAAACACTTTTACAATTTCTTCTCTAACACTGTCTGGTCTCTTTCTTCGCTTAACCATCCGGAGGTGTACCTATTAAAGATGCTCCGATGCTTAAATCAATAAGCATGATCGATAATTTTGGATCAGTAATTAATGAACAGTAAATGTCAACCACAACCTCTTATCTTAATCCCGGTCCAATCATGATTCATTGCTCTTAAGGGAGTTACTTCTTCCACCACCACACACCGCTTCCTACACCTCTCCATTCCGTTTTTGTCCTTCAGTTTAAACGGATGTGAGATTTCTTAAACGGACATGTGCACGGATATCACTAGTTTTGCAAAACTTTCTCACCGGTAGCATGTGAATAGAACTCCACAAATCTTTAACCCTCTTTGATAGGCCAGTTTGCTTATTACGAATAACCTTGATAGAGGAAATCTCGGCGGTGGAGATGAAACAACGATGGAGATAGTTTTCGTCCATTCAGTTATGCAAATCGCCACGGTTTTGTTTTCGCCACTAGATCTGTTCTCATGTTGCTGATGCGGGACATGCGTCGGCGCGTACCGGTGGTGATGGAAAGGCGTGTACATGCAAGGTAGTGGCATCCTTATACGCTTCCTTAGCACTTCCGAAAGACGTAGACTCGCCGTAATATCAATGCTGCCACATTCACACGCGTAGAAACAAGTTGTGAAATCGAGAAATTTCGTTTAAGAACTATTAGTGAAGTGGGAGGTGGATAATTTATTACGTAAAGGAAGCAGAAGGCTTACTTCGAGGAAAACCACCATGGCACCGAATCGAGAGGCGATTTCCCAAACAAAGCCAGT